TTAGGCCATTTCTTGGTGCAGCTGCTACAGGAGAGGGTCCAGACCTCTGTCCTACGGAGGTGAGGCCGCGGGCTGACGCAGCGAGGCCTGGACACTCTTCTCTGGAGGACGGCCGAGGTCCACCATCCGCCTTGAGCCTCTCAATCCTGAGTCCCCCTCCAGACCCATCCAAGTTCTCTTCCCTCCCCCCTTGCCCCAAGGGAAATACATATATATCGATAAATTCACACACATTCATGCATACACTTCTAGTTCCCCAAATTAGCTGACCTCAGCTCCTATTTTGAGATAGATGCTTCCGCCTGGGAGTCCAGCAGGCCTGGACCAGCGCTCTCAGCTTCCTCCTTTGGGTGCCCAGGGTTCCCGCTGGCCTCCTCTCCCCCCTCCCCCACCCTCCTTGGTCTGCTGATTCCTTTCTTGGGCTTGAGGGACTGAGCTGGCAGGGCCTCGGAGGCTGCCCCAGCCCGTGGTAGCTACCCCTTCTGTGTGGCTTCTGCTTGCCGGGCCCTGAGTCCATCATCATTGATATCCTGTTCCCTCCAGCCGGCCGGCTTTAGTAAGAAACCTACCCTTGTCAAGGGGAAGTAAGGTCTAGGCTGGACAAGCACCCTGGTCTCTCTCCGTCCCTCACTGGCATGGGCGTTGGGCAAGTCCCTGTCCCTTTGAGCCTCAATTTCCTCATCAGTGAAATGGGTATGGTAATAACACCTCCTTTGAAGGGTTGCCAAGAAGATTAAATAGCCCAACTCGGGTAAAGTGCAAAGGGCAGGGCTGCCACTCAGCACCTGGTGGGTGCTCCATACGTGGGAATCGTGTTGACAAGGAGGAGGAGGCAGATAAGCAGCAAGAGGAGTAGCAGGTACCCCAACATTCCCCCTGTGCCTCCGGCTCCCTTCCTAGCGTTCACAGCACTGCTTCAAGGAGGGCCCAGCTGTACTCATCTTGCTGTGGGGAGCCTGAGGCCAAGGGAGAAATGTTTTGTCCCAGACCACTCAGCGCATGCAGCTGGACAGTGGCCTCACCCTTGTCCCGTCCTCTCTGGCCCTACCCCAGACCCTGTGCACCTCATGGCGGTGAGGGGCAGGGGAAGGGGGCTGGCAGCGGGGGAGGCAGCGCTTTCCCAGGACTCCCATCTCCCTGGCTCAGGCCTGGCTTTCCTGGGAGGAGAGGGGTGAAGTCTTCAGGCTAAGGAATCAGACAGACCCCGTTCAAGCCTCAGCTCTGCCTCCTCCTGCCTGGTCCTGAGACCTTGGCCGGTGACGTCTTTCTGTGAGCTTTAGTCTTCTCTTATAAACTGGGAAGGCCTGAGTCTGCTTGGAGTTGTCCAGGGATCCAAGAAGGTTGCAGTACGTAGGTGCTCTGTGCCCGGGGCACTGACCCTGGGGTGACGTGAGACCTAGGAGCCCCGGACAGAGCTGGCCCGGCCTCAGGCTGGTCAGTGTGCTGCTGTGTGGCTAAGCGGAGGCTGCCTAGAGCACAAAGCTGCCTGTCGCAGGGTGACAGGCCCTACGTGGACCCTCCCCCCGCCTGTCGTTCTGCCCTCTTGTGCACCGATTTCTACTGTGAGTGCGAGTGTCCGAATCAGACAGACCGGACCTGGTCTGCCGGCTGTGGTCACCTTACTGATGGGCCTGCTGAGGCCCAGAGAGGAGACCCCACACCGTTATCCCATGAGCCCTGCCTGGGCCCGCCTCCTTGTGCTGAGCTGCGCTGTCTCACAGTGCCCTCTGCTGCCAGACCTCGCTCTGCCGGCTGCTCCCCGGAGGCCAGGCCGGACAGATCCACAGGCCTGTGCCTGCCCTTTTCCTGGGAGCCAGCGAAGCCCGAGCTCCCTGTGTCTGGGCGCAGGATGCTGCCATTGAACCGCACCACGGTCTGGCCTGGCCCGGGCCAGAGTCACAGGTCACTCTTTGACAGCGAGGAGGCGGGGCAGGGCCCTCCCTGGCCATGCTACCTTGTCCCTCCTCCTGCAGGGCACTGGCGCTGGCACTGGCACTGGCACGTGCAGAGGTTC